GAAAATGTTCTAGTTATATATATTGTATAGTAATGTTATATATTATATATATAGTAATATATATAATATTGAATAATACTATCTTGAATACAGGTGTTCAAAAAAAGTTTTTGGCCTAAGGAAGGTTGGGCTCTCTTTTGAGAAATGGGGTGAAAAGTTCAGTTTTTTGGGAGACACTGGGAATAGAGCTGCTGCTGCTCCACATCAAGAGGAGCCAGTGGAGGTGGGTTGTGCATCTGGTAAGGATGCTCCCTGGACACTTCCCTAGGTAGGTGTTCTGGGCATTTTCATCTGGAGATGGATGTCAGGGAAGACTTAGGACATGCTAATGAGACTGTCTCTCAGCTGGCCTAGGAACATCTTGGAATCATCCCAGAAAAGCTGGACAAGGTGGCTGTGGAAAGATGTCACGGCCTCCCTGCTCAAGCTGCTTCGCCAACCTGTCTTAAGTAGCAAGTGACAGATAATGGTTTAATAAATTAATTCAAATGAAAAGCATAATGTATGCAGAAAACGGTATATATTTTTTTGTTTTTAAGAACCGATTGAAACCAACACAATGTGTTAGTGCTTGAACAGTTTTCTTGTTATTGCCGGTTTTCCCTCTTCAGGGATCGCCACAGTGAGTCCTCCTCCTCCAGCTCACTCTGGCCTCTGCATCCACTGTCCTCACTCCAACTACCTCCATGTCCTGTGTAACTGCATTCATCTATGTCCTCTTTGGCCTTATTCTGTCTTTATCTGCTCCATCCTGCCTGAACTCTTTTTCAACATTTTACCACACTCCCCATTTTCCTGGACAGTGGACCACAAGTGCTTGAAGTCCTGTACTTTTGTTACCTCTGCTCCTTGTAGCCTCACTGTTCCACCTCCTCCCTCTCATTCACACACATGTACTCTTTACTAGTATTCTTTACACATGAACTTTCATTCCTCTTCTTTTAAGTGCATACCTCCACCTCTCTAAGTTCTCTTCCACCCGTTCCCGTTCTCACCACAGATCACGATGTCATCTGCAAACATCGTAGACCACTGGGATTCCTGCCTAACCTCATCTGTTAGTCGGTCCAACAAGAAAGGGCCGATCCTTGATGCAGTCCCACCTCCACCTTGAAGCTATCTGACACTCCTACAGCACATCTCACAATTGTCCTGCTGTCCTCATACATGTCCTGTACCAGTCTAACATACTTCTCTGCCACTTCAGATTTCCTCATGTAATACCACACCCCCTCCCTCAGCACCCTGTCATATGTTTTTTTCTAAATCCATAAAGATACAATAAAGTTCTTTCTGACCTTCCCTGTACTTCCCCATCAATATCCTCAAAGCAAAGATGGCATCTGTGGAGCTCTTTCTTGGCATGAAACCATACTGCTGCTCACAGATAGTCACCTCTCGTCTAAGTCTTGTTTCTACAACTCTCTCCCAGATCTTCATCGTGTGACTCATCAACTTAATTCCTCTGCAGTTGCTACAACTCTGTACATCACCCTTGTTCTTAAAAATGGACACCAGCACACTTCTTCTCCATTCCTCAGGTATTTTCTCACCCTCCTATATGCCACTGAATCCATCCATCCATCCATTTTCTTTACCCGCTTACTCCATTTTGGGTCACGGGGGTCGCTGGTGCCCATGTCCAGCAATCACTGTGCGAGGGGCGGGGTACACCGTGGACAGGTCGCAAGTCCATCACAGGGACACATAGAGACAAACGAGACAAACAACCATTCACTCTCTCACTCACACCTAGGGACAGTTTAGAGTTACCAATCAGTCTAACATGCATGTTTTTGGTCTGTGGGAGGAAACCGGAGCATCCGGAGAAAACCCACGCATGCACGGAGAGAACATGCAAACTCCACCCAGAAAGGCCCCTGGACCGGGATTTGAACCAAGGACCTGCTCGCTGAGAGGCAGCAGCTCTACCAGTTGCGCCACCGTGCTGCCCATGCCACTGAATATTTGAGTAAAAAACCTCCTACTGCCTTCCCCTTCTTCATTCTTTTCAGAGCTTTCTGGACTCCCTGGTCCACAGTTTCTTTGACCTTTACTCTTCTTTCTCTCTCATTCTCTTCATTCATTAGCTCCTCAAATTACTCCATCCATCTTCCCGTCACACTCTCCTCACTTGTTAGAACATTACAATTAGGCAGTGGTGAGATGTAACAAAGTACAAATACTTCGTTACTGTACTTATGTACATTTTTCATGTATCTATACTTTACTTAAGTAGAGTTAAATGTGGGTACTTTATACTTTTACTCCACTACATTTTACATCAAGTATCTGTACTTTCTACTACACTACATTTCTATAATGTGTTGCATTACAAGTTACATTCATGTTGCAGCTTTTTGATTTGTTTGTTACTTTGAAAGTAACCAATGGTGAGAGGGGAGCTGGTCCATTGAATCACTGCAAAGTGGGCAGGTAACATTAGGCCCACCTTCAAGAAGAACTGGGCCAATGACTTATTCTACTATATACATCATTAAGCTGGGTGCACCCACAGCACCACTAACACACCCAAAATGTATTTCACCG